GTAAACCCCAGGTTCTCCATGCTGCAGGCAATTACCCAGCAGAAGCTGGGTTTGGCAGATGAGGTTTAGAGGGGTCAGACTGAAAGCATGAATGCTTCCATCACACTCTAAAAACTAGTTTCCATTGAATAGGATTTCAGGATATTCTCTTGCTTAAATGCAAAAAAAAAAAAAAAAAATTACCCTTAAATATCCAAGTGCTAAGGGTAGCACCTAACTCAGTGTTGCTACTTAATAGCCACTGTCTTTCCCTTTCCTGAATGGGAGTTCTCAGATTTACAAAATGCTTTCACCTGCAGGTACCCAATCTCTAGGTTCACCAGAGTCCTTCTCGCCTTTGGAATACAAACAGATTTCCCTGAATCTCTGAATTTTCATAGCTAGTAGAACCCCCAAAATCATCTCCCAAGATTTCAGTAACACACATGAGCAAATTTTCCAAGGTTCCTTTGCCTCTGGTCCCTGTGTTCCCATGTGGCATCTTATTAGGCCCAAGGCATGCAGACCTCAGTCCCTTCTAGAACCCATAGGAGATCCAGGCACAGCAATCATCTTTGTTGTATTTTGAGGGCCTCGCTGGAGATCTAAAAGTCACTTGGGGAGTGATCCTATTGGGCTTCACCCAATGTTCTGCCATTTGTTCACCTTCATACCTCTCTTATTCTATCCAAGCCCCCAGTGGGTTTATTTTTCTCTTCCACTGGAATCTCAGCATAAGTGATGCTGAGGCCCCAAGAATGTGGCTTCCACCCCACACAAGCTTCCAAAGGCATTTCTCCAAGAAAGGCAATTCTCTCTAAGAGGAGTACCTACTGTTAGGCAAAGGAAATGTTCTCTCTCTTTACAGTTCCTCTTATGCTCCTTAACAACCTTCTGAGACTAGTGTAATAATTTCCACTTTATAGATGAGGAGATGGAGGCTCAGCAATGACATGCCCTTGTCCAAGGTCACCCAGATAGTGAGTGCCAGAATCTGGCTTCAAGCCACGATCTAATCAGCACCACTGTACTTGGGGCCCACTGTGACAGAGTATGGTTTTCAAGAGGATTGCTCAAGAGAGAACAAGTGGCTTTTCCTGTATCCCAACTTTCCCAGTCTGGAAGAGTCTCTTTGCTGTGTGGCAAGATCACAATATCCTTGTCTTCTTTAAAAAGATGCTCCTGTTTACTCCTTTAAGAGGAGCAGAAATGTGTGTATGTACATACCTCCAGAGGTGAGCTCCAGGGAGAATGGAGACCAGGGATCAAAAGGCCAGTGGTGGCCGGGCGCGGTGGCTCAAGCCTGTAATCCCAGCACTTTGGGAGGCCGAGGCGGGCGGATCACGAGGTCAGGAGATCGAGACCATCCTGGCTAACACGGTGAAACCCCGTCTCTACTAAAACAAAAAAAAAATACAAAAAAACTAGCCGGGCGTGGTGGCGGGCGCCTGTAGTCCCAGCTACTCAGGAGGCTGAGACAGGAGAATGGCGGGAACCCGGGAGGCGGAGCTTGCAGTGAGCCGAGATCCTGCCACTGCACTCCAGCCCGGGCGGCAGAGCGAGACTCCGTCTCAAAAAAAAAAAAAAAAAAGGCCAGTGGTCAGCTTTGCACTAAATGTGTTTGCGTCACTGCACCACCCTCTCCCGCAGGTCCTAGGCTCCTGAGACCCAAGTCATTTTTGCCTTATACTATTTTGGCTTTCTCACAATATTCTCTTCAAGTCTCCCCAGACTTCTGATGCAGGCAACATGCCTCATGTTTATGTTCTTTCCCTGGTCTCAGTCTCCAGTGGCGTCAAGGTGCTGAGAAAACACAGGTTTTCGACTCTGGCAGACCTCAGATCTTATCTGTGCCTCTCACTCTGTGGCTTTAGGCCAATCATTTTGTCTCAAAGAGCTCTGGTTTCCTCTGGGACACAGCTAGTGATGCCTTCCTCCCAGGTAGTGAGATTTCCAAAATAGAGAGTGCAAATGATAACTTACAGATATTTTTACTTTGCACACTACATGTGGGGTCAGGCAGACAAGTTCAAAACCCCACTTTGTCACCTGCTGGCCCTGCTACTCTGTACAAATTCCTGCATACTTCTGGACCTCTATTCATCTGTAATGTGGGGTGGGCCATCCTTCCTCCTCGGGTCATAAGATGGTTCAGAAGATAGAGCCCAGCACTTGTGGCTACGGCTCCGTCAATGGTGTTTTGTTTTTATAGTTTTGTTTGTGGGTTAAGGCCATAATGACGATCTCAAAAATTATATTTAACATGGGATGTGGTACATTTTAAGATATTCAATAAAATGTGGACTTAATCTTGGGTTTAAATGGGTCTTAAGTGTTCTTCTTCTCCCTGCCTCAGGAGGGAGGTGAGAGCACCATGCGGGTGAGTGTTGTATTGGGGCTTGGCATCAGTTTGGAGAGCAAACCCAGGGGAGGAGTTTGCTCTGAAGAGGCCCTGAACAGGGGCAGTGGCTCCCTGCCAGGAGAGTTCTGGCACCTGGATAAGTAGACAGGCCCCAGCTAGGCAAGGCTGGTGGGGATGCTTGGGGCTTCCCAGGCAAGCCGTTTCTTGCTCTCTCTGTGCCTGTACATCTGCTCTCATTGCAGTCTGTACAACTGTGAAGTGTTTAGCCAGCAGCCGCAACCCCACCCAATCGTAATCCCCAACTACGGGGACCACACTTCACCTTCTGTTCCACAATAGGCCCTGAGCAACAGCTTGTTGAATGTCACATTCTCAGAGTCACCCGTTTGATTTTGGGATGCTGGCTCTGCTTTGCATAAAGGATCTGTGAGCATGAGTAATTGGGCTGTAAGAGTGACCATGAATTCCTCAGTTGATCAGGGGCCAGGGCTGCCCACTATCCTCAACACCCTCACTCCTGCAGCCACGTGGGCACCTCTGTGCTGGCTCACCAGGTTCCCTGACATTCCTGTGGACTATGTTCCTTGGTAAGACTCTGACACAAGTTACAGGACATTTTCCCCAAAGGGACAGATCAACTAGACTCTGACACAAGTTACAGGACATTTTCCCCAAAGGGACAGATCAACTAGACTCTGACACAAGTTACAGGACATTTTCCCCATAGGGACAGATCTACTAGACTCTGACACAAGTTACAGGACATTTTCCCCATAGGGACAGATCAACTAGACTCTGACACAAGTTACAGGACATTTTCCCCAAAGGGACAGATCAACTAGACTCTGACACAAGTTACAGGACATTTTCCCCATAGGGACGGATCAACTAGCACCAATAGCACCTCCTCTTTCTTATTGCTGCATTGGTGCAGAGGTAACCTTACCCCTCAATGCTCTGAGGGGATTGGAGCAATGATGGAACCCTACTCCATCATTTTGCATAAGGGTGCTCCCAGCACTGCCACTCACAAGGCATTCAAGGTAGACACAGCATACGGAACACTATTATTATTACTATTACATATATATTATTACTATTACTGCAAAATGAACAACACACCCCAGTTATCATACGTAGAGTGCTTATTAAGTTTGAATTCTAACTGCTTTACAAACATCTCATCGAATTTCCCCTTCCCCCTGCAATGAGGTTAGCTACTATTATTATCATCGTTTTACAAATGAAATAAAAAGTGGACCCAAAGAGGATACATAACTGGGCAAAGTCCTTTAGGGATGGGAAGAGGTACTGATTTAATCTCTAGCCTGTGCCTCACTCCTCCCAGATAAGAAAGTCTGACGCAAGAATTTCTGGGGTATCTATCACATGAGAAGTCATGTTTCTACCATAACAAATGCCTGAGCTAGGAGCCAGGCATGGTGGATGATGCCTGCAATCCCATCACTTTGGGAAGCCAAGGCAGGATGATCGATTGAGCCCAGGAGTTTGAGACCAGCCTGGGCAACATAGAGAGACCCCATATCTGAAAAGATAAAAATAAAAAAATTAGCCAAGCATGCTGTAGGCCCAACTGTGTGTGAGGCTGAGGCTAGAGGATCATGATTGCTTGAGCCTAGGAGTTTGAGGCTGGGATGAGCTCTGATCATGCCACTGCACACCAGCCTAGGAGACAGAGTCAGACTCCCATCTCAAAGAAACAAAACAAGCCACTCCAAAAAACAAATGCCTAAACCTCAACATAAAATGAGCTTTACATGTGAGAGTTTTGAAAAACATCTTGTTTGTTATAACCTGTTTTATATAAGAAAAAAATCTAATGTGCGTAAAGTATAAACAGAATATTTCTAATAAAATTAGACATGGACAATGTTATGTATGGTGATCTGAGACCAAGATCAATAGTAAGTGTGGAGTGGGAGACAGCATTAGGGTGAGAAGGCATGCTCAGATTTGCTTTTACAATGATGTTCCCAGAGGGGCCACTTAGGAAGAAAGTAGAGAGGAGACAAAGACGGGTGGAAGACTGTTGTAGGAGGTTAGGAAATGATGAACTGTGTTGTCAAGGAAAGGAGAGGAAATCCCAAAGCAGAGTTAATGGGTCACGATGACTGCATGGATAAACTGGGTGTTGCGGGTTGAGGCTGTGACTCAGTTTCCAGCTTGTGCATCTGGATGTTGTTGGCTGAAGAGGAGAGGCTGACCTCCAAGGGAACAGGCTGTGGCTGAATTCAGTATAAGGAGGCAGGACAGCTCTCAGCAGCCGTCTAAATAAGCATGTCCCAGAAGCGGAGAGTGTACTGTTTGTGGTACCAAGAAGGTTTTCAATGGCATTCTGATGCACCCTTAAGAATTTAACAATTTCACATCTATTTTTATGGTTAACATTTATTGATGACGTTTTCCTTTTATATATTTATACTTTCTATTAGCTGCATGTATTTAAATAAGACAAGGGAGATTGATTTAAAGAAAAAAGTTCTCTAAATTATATTGCATGTGTCAAAAATCATGATGGCAGTGATTGAATGGTGGAGATATGTTTAGAAAAGCTGTGTTCCCTGTTTTAGCAGAACATGCACCCCAGCTTCCCGATGGTCTCTTCAGAGCCCTTGTTTCTTGCCTGCATGTCTTGCAGATCCGGTGCATGGCCCACAGAACGTGGAAATCGTAGACATCCGAGCCCGGCAGCTGACCCTGCAGTGGGAGCCCTTCGGCTACGCGGTGACCCGCTGCCATAGCTACAACCTCACCGTGCAGTACCAGTACGTGTTCAACCAGCAGCAGTACGAGGCCGAGGAGGTCATCCAGACCTCCTCCCACTACACCCTGCGAGGCCTGCGCCCCTTCATGACCATTCGCCTGCGACTCCTGCTGTCTAACCCCGAGGGCCGAATGGAGAGCGAGGAGCTAGTGGTGCAGACTGAGGAAGACGGTGAGCAAGGGAGGAAAGCTTACATGGGAATGGGGATATTGAATCTGTTCACAAGGCTGTGGCAGTCAGTTATGAGGCTTTTATTTTTCCTACATTTTTAATTCCCTCACACATACTTTTCTTTTCCAAGGTCTTCAGTGAAGGACTATGTAAACGGCATTGCACACCTCCAGGGCATGCTTTTCCCATCACGGTGACAGCTCTGCCATAGACATGCACTCAGCTTTGGCCCTTTTGTACCCCCATCCCTCTTCTTGCTTTATACCAGTGTATTAGACCATTCTTACATTGCTATAAAGAAATACCTGCGGCCAGGTGCGGTGGCTCATGCGTGTAATCCCAGCACTTTGGGAGGCCGGAGCGGGTGGATTGCCTGAGCTCAGGAGTTTGAGACCAGCCTGGGTAACATGGTGAAACCCCGTCTCTACTAAAATACAAAACAATTAGCCAGGCATGGCAGCATGTGCCTGTAATCCCAGCTACGCAGGAGGCTGAGGCCGGAGAATTGCTTGAACCCAGGAGGCAGAGGTTGCAGTGAGCCGAGATTGTACCACTGCACTCCAGCCTGGGCAACAGAGTGAGATTCTTTCTCTACAAGAAAAACAAACAAACAAATAAACAAAAAAAAAAAAACCACCTGAGACTGGGTAATTTATAACGAAAGGAGGTTTAATTGGCTCACAGTTCTGCAGGCTGTTCAGAAAGCATAGCACTGACATAGCTTGGCTTCTGGGGAGGCTGAGGAGCGTTTACTCATGGTGGAAGGCGAAGTAGGAGCAGGCACACCATGTGGCCAAAGCAGGCGCAAGAGAGAGATTGGTGGTGCGGTGCCACACACTCAACCAGATCTCTGGGGAATTCACTCACTGGCATGAAGACAGCACCAACCCATGAGGGATCCACTTCCATGATCCAGTCACACCTCCAGCATTGAAGATTACATTCAACGTGAGATTTGGGAGGGCACAGATACCCAAACTGTATCAACCACCTTCTCTGTCCAAGGTTTGACTGCACTGGTGCCTCCAGAAAGAGAAAACATGTATCACGTTGTTTAAACATGTTGAATTTGGAAGTCAGACAATGCTGAATTATGTCAGAATTAAAAACAGAAAATACATATAAAAAGCTTAGCATACACATTGGATGCACCCAGGACTGAATATTCACCTGGCTGGATGACAGTCATCTCAAACTCAAGGTATCTGAAAATGAACTTATCTCCAATTCGATACTGACTTTCCCTGTGTTCCTCAACTCAATGAACTGCAACTAGTAACTCAAGATAGAGATCTGAAAGTCAGCCTGGGAGCCTCCATGTTTCCCTCCCCAACCCACCCCACCTCCACACCCCACAAGTTTCTAATGGGTGTGCTTCCTGCAGTTTATCTTCCTCATAACTTGAGACTCCAAGAACCCAGAGCCACTACTGCTAAAACACAGAACTTTTCCTGCCTCTCTGTCCTTACCCATGCCATTTCTCTTGCTTGGAATGACCTCTCCTCCATGTTTGCAAGGAAACCTCTATTGACCTTTCAAGTCTGCTCAGATGTTACTTCCTCCAGGAAGCTTTCCTTGATTGCCACAGATTGACTTGGATGTTTCTTCCCAGGTTCACTGCAGTTACCTTAGTGATAGCATAGAATTTGCCAGTTCCAGGACTTACCTAAGAAACACTTCCCCATGACCATATTTCAGTTTCCCCTCCAGCCAGCCCAGGCTGCCCCTTGCCTTGTGGGATGGCTTTAGATAGTTCCCGAGAATCAGACTCAGATGAAGATTCGTGTGCAAGTGACTGATTAAGAAAGTTTTCCCAGGGCAGACTGGGAGGGGAGTGAGGGAAGTGGGATAAGGAAGGGGAGAAAGTCAAGGTGCAACTTTTGGCCAAGTCCAGCAAAAACTGGCTGCAACCTGAGCCTTCGGGGAACTGTTCAGGGTGGGCCATGCATCACAGGTGTCCTAAGTTAGGCAAGGAAGCTGTCAGCCAACAGTTAGGGTCTGGGATGGGGTGGAGAGATTCAGAGGGAAAATTTTAGTAACTTGTCTTTCTGCACATGCAGGTAAAGAATAGAGGCTCACAAAAATGGTATACAGAGATCTGAAAGGTCTAGCCAGAGCACTGGCATTGTCAGTTGCATAAAGAAAATACCCAACTTGACTCAGATTAGCCTTAGAACTTGAAGACAGCACCTCTGCTGTGGCAATTCTGTTTAGTACTTGTTTTCTTTTTTTCATTTACTTTTTTTTCTTTCTTTGTGTGTTCCTGGGATCCAGTAGGATCTAGTACTCTTGCTTCATGTAAGCAAGTTCTAAATACCTCAGAGTTATGACCCTGAGTAGAACCCAGATTCACATTCTCAGCTGCAAAATCTCATGAGAAGATAAGGGAAATAGTGCCAGCCTCTTCTTACCTTGCCCCTAATTCTCACTTCCACCATGTCCCATCCTAGAGCTGGAAGTTTTACACAGTCTACTTTCATGATCCATCCCTCCGGTTCATCTTCATAGCCATCCTCTTTGCAGACCCCACACACTGGACTTTGGGGTCATCCTTGGAGTAGACTGTGTAAAACTTCAAGTTCTAGGAAGATTTCCCTAGACCTGACTTCATTGTTTCAGAAATGTGTAGCCCCTTCCTCCAGCATGTAGAATTGTTCACTGTTAGACAATGTACACTGTGGAGCCAAGCATGCCTGGACAAGTTGTGTAACCTCTTAGTGACTTGGTTTCCTCATCTATAAAATGGAATTAGTTGGCCAGGCATGGTGGCTCACCCTGTAATCCCAGCACTTTGGGAGGCTGAGGCAGGCAGATCACAAAGTCAGGAGATCGAGACCATCCTGGCTAACACGGTGAAACCCCATCTCTACTAAAAATACAAAAAATTAGCTGGACATGATGGCACGTACCTGTAGTCCCAGCTACTCAGGAGGCTGAGGCAGGAGAGTCACTTGAACCCGGGAGGTAGAGGTTGCAGTGAGCTGAGATCGTGCCACTGTACTCCAGCCTGGGTGACAGAGCGAGACTCCATCTCAAACAGAAAAGGAATAATTAAAGTACCTATCTTATAGATTCTCATGCACATAAAGTGGGATGATGTATAAAGAAATTGGACTAACACCCAGCATATTATAAGGTACTACATTTTTGGTGAACCACGGGAAATTAAAAAAAGGAATTCTTCACAAAGGAGCATCTAGCCCCGGCAACTGAGAAACTGCCCAACTCCCCTAGGAAACCTCTTCAGAGCTCTAGACAGGTCCAGACATCTAGAAATCTAATTGGTTGTAGGAAATACACTGTAGACACTCAAAAAGTGGCAGTGTGCTTGGTGCCTGATATGAGAAACAGAGTCAGGGCAAAAGGGTGGTTCAATGACTGATATTCACAGGGAATTCCTGGTTTTTTGAGAGGGAGAAGTCACTGCTGAAAATCAGCATGAAAATTCAGGACTCAGGAGATGAACAATAAGGTATTCCCAAGGAGCGACTCAGGGCACCTTTTTAAAGATGCTCTGCCCACCTTGAGCTGCTCTTTGAGGATTACCTCCCTGTGCCTCAGCAAACCCCAAGTCCACCTTTAAGATGTTCCTTAACTTGTCTCTTCTTCCTGTCACCAAGAAAAAAAAAGCCTTTATCAAAACAACATGAGAGCAGGAATGCTTTGAAATTAAATTTTAATTAAACATCATTAATAAAACATCAATTCCTGCTCTATGGAGATGTGTGGACATTATCATACTAAAAACACCAACATGCAAGACACAATTCCTCAGTTCTGTAACTATGCTGAGGCTCTGCCTCAAAACCCACTGGACTGAAGGAAGATCTCGGTGTAGAACCCCGCTGTATGCCAGGGTTAGGTTCCATTCTCCCTAAAGAGGGAGGAGGCACCATTTCTGTTGACTGGGTAACTCATTCACCTCAAGGACAAGATGAGGCTGTAGCATGGCTCTAGTGGATTAACTGAAACCCCCCTCCAGGAGCCAGGAAGCAACCTTTAGGATTGAGTTGGCTGAATGGCTGAATTCATGCTGCTGTCATCCGTGCCACAAAATTGTCTTCTGAGGAATTATTTGTAGAATTTGTAATTTCAGCACCTCAGTGCATTTGAGGGCCTGCGAAGAAATCCAGCACTAGAGAGGCTCATGGCTGCTGAGCCCTATGGCTTCATTTGGGTAGCAGCTGTTCATAAGAGACTAAATAGATTCTTTATTTTTCCCTTTTCCACAAATGTCTCAGACAAAACCACAGTTCGCTTGCACCTCGAAAGATGAAAACCATGTTGATGGTTTTGCTTGGCCGCTCACTTTGGCTGCTATTTATTGAGCACCTACACTGGGCTAAGCATGGATAGACATGTTATATACAACGACTCCTGTGCTCCTTTTGCCCAATATTTTATTGTGAATTTTTTCAAGGTTAGAAAAATGGAAAGAATAGTACAAAGGAGACTTATAAACTTCTCATCTAGATTCAACATTTGTAAACACTTTGCTGCATTTACTAGTGTGTGTATCTTACATCTACATGATAGATGATGTATGCTATGTAAATGTATTTATGAATACATACAGTATTTTAACCATTTGAAAGTAAATTGCAGAAATCATGACAGTTGATTTCTAAACCCTTTAGCATACATGACCTAAAAATAAGAACTTTCTGCTACATACCCACAATGCTATTTAACCTCTAATAAATTTTGCATTAATTTTAAAATTATGTAATATACAGTTTGTTTACATTTTTAATAATATTTAGCCTGATTCTGTGGACAAAACCAGGGTTCAGGATATTTTTGGCAAAACTATTACATTGGTGATATATATTTCTTATTGTATTTTGTCAAGAAGTTCGTAATGTCAGGGAGCCCCAGTACTGATGATGCCACATATGGTCACTTAGATAAGACAAGAACTACCCGGTCCCTCCACTGTACATGTAGCACCTTTTTTCTTTTGTAAAGTATCCTTGAAGTGAAACTTTGAGTTGAAATGA